CAGGCATCGGGGACTTGGTATGGAATCCAGGGATTACAACCCATTGTTGCGTTCTTCAAGACTTTACTCCCCCATTTTCCTCATCCATAAATAGGAGAATAATGGCATTATCATAACTAAAGTTTCATGAAATATTGAATAAAACAATATACAAATAGCCCCAAGCAGATGCCACAAGTATAAGATATGCTTCCTCCACAGGGACTCATTGAGTGTAAATCAGTGTCATTGACCATGGAGCTACTTCACCATAAACTCAAACAGAATTTTCAGAATCTGCTAAATTGTCTTTTAAAAAATCATTTGCCCAAGTTGTTAGTAACAAATGTGAAAGAAGCAACTGTCATTATTATCTTCCAGGCTTCATAAAACCCTTGGAAGGCACTGGTATGATATGACTGTTAAATAATCACATGTTTTGCCCTGCTTACCAAGTTAGAGCAAGTTTTTTTTAAAGATTTTATTTATTCATTTTTAGAGAGAGGGGAAGAAAAGGAGAGAGAGGGAGAGAAATATCAGTGTGTGGTTGCCTCTCGTGCATCTCCTGCTGGGAACTGGCCTGCAATCCAGGCATGTGCCCTGACTGGGAATTGAACTGCAGTTGTTTGGTTCCCAGGCTTGCACTCAATCCACTGAGCTACACCAGCCAGGGCTAAGTTAAAGCAAGTTTCAAATGAAGCGTATGAAGAGAAAATATGGCTGCCAATAAGAAGCAAACACAAAAGAATTTTGCATTTCAATTTCTGTTTTCTATTGTGTAACATACTGTAAAATAATAAAACTGTGGAAAAATAAAAAATACTTGAACTATGGATGAAACTATTTTTAAATAATTTCTTCCTCATTTATAAAACACAGATTAGCAAATCTGTTCATTTGTGAGTGTGACTTTAATCAAGTTACTTAAATTCTCTGTAATTTACTTTCTTCGTGTGAAATGGACATAACAATACTTAATGTCATAGGTTTGTGATGAGACAAATTAATTAATAAGTAAAATATACTGTTGTGCTGACACGGGGTAAGAACTTCATGTTAGCTATAATTATTATTTCTTCTGCACACTGTTAAACTTTCCTCAGGTGCATTACAACACAATATAAACTACTATTTTACAGTACCATCTCCCCTCCTCACAGCTGTGTCCACAACAAGAAAGGATACAGCCAAAACAAAAGTAGGCATTGGGATGATTAGGCTGATACTTCTCTTACTTTCATGAGTCTCTCTTGATGAGAATTGAAAGCAAAGAAAAATAAGCCTCTAAGTTCTTGAAATATCTATTTTTAAAAGACTTGTCTTTACTCAGACTATGCTACTCATATTTTACAGACATTTCTACAACAATTCTCTGGTTTCACCTTGTAGATGACAAGATTGTTTTTAAACACTCTGTGTCCTGGGACCCAAGCCAGGGACCTTCCATAGACTACTTTACTTGATCTTTGTGAATCATTATGAAGAAACGAGTTTGTTTTTTATTGCTGTAAATAATTACCACAATTCTAGTGGCTTGAAACAATACAGACTTATTTTCTTACAGCCCTGGGTGTCCAAAGCCGGTTTCACTGGACTGAAGTCAATGTGTTGGCAGGCCCAGGCTCCTTCTGGAGTTTCTAGGGGTGAGTTGGTTTCCTTGCCTCTCTCAGCTTCTAGAAGTAGAGTGAACCCTCCAGCTCATGGCCAGTTCTCCATCTTCAAACCTGTCATCCCAACTCTGTTTGCATCTTTATTCCTTCTCCCTTTTACTCGATCCTTCTGCCCACCACTCATAAATTTTTCTGGACTACACTGGGACCACCTGTATAATCCAGGATAGTCCCCCCATTTAAAATCCTCATTTTAATCACATCTCCACAGTCCTTTTTAACATGTCAAGAAACATTTGTAGGTTCTGGGGATAGTACATAGCATCTTTGGGGAGAGGGTTTGTTTGTTAGTCTACCATAGGTAGATACTATTCTACTCATTTTGCAGATAAAAAAATAGAATTATTAACTCTATTTGAGGAACACAATTCAGAGACTGCATAACTGACTCAAACTCACAAAACCAAAATGTGGGCCTCAACTCGGTGTAGATCCTTCTCACCTTGAGGCTGTTTCCACAACACAATTCTGGCCCCAAAGTAAGAAGAAAGATCAAGGAAAGATTCCTTCCTGAATGGTAGATTTTTAAGTTTTCTATACTAGAGAAGTTATTTATTGAATATTTTTATTGAATAGCTATTATATATAAGATCCAATTTTAGGTGCTGAGAACAAATATGAATCAGACTTAGTCAATTCCTATTCATCCTCTATATATTTCATCCCCATATATTTCAATGCCTTTTAACTCCTAAATCTGTATCTACTGTCCTGACCAAATTCTACTATCTAATTGACAGTTCCAGTTTCATGTCATATTAACTTAACTTTTGATTTGTTTCCAGCAAACAAGATCCATCCCTCAGCCTTCTCCAGCTCAGGAAGCAGCACGCCCATGCATCCCCGAAGTCTCCCCCATAATTATTTTTCTTCAAAAGCTGAAGCACAGAGTTTAATCCTATACTTAATTATTGCATTTGTTGGATGTCTGTTCATGCTTTTGGGGTACACAGAGAGAAACAGGCCCACGCTGATGCTGTGCACCCCAACACTCCTTAGTAAGCATGATAGGTGTCCACAAATACGTATTAAACAACTAATGACTAAATAAACTTGCCATCCACCCAGAGTGGTAGATGAACATGTAGCACAATATTCAAATAATAAAAATATGTTCAAGATACCAACAGTCAAAGCTAATACAGAAGAGGAAGAATTACTTCTGTTTAAAGAGAGAAGCTGACTACAGAAGGCTGCATAAGAGGAGGAAGCCCGATCAGTGTTGATGGTTGAAAAGAAAACTATGAGAAAAGATTTCTGAGCAGAAGAGATGGCATTTGCAAAGGCAAAAAAGTTTCAAACAGTGTGATTATTCAGGGAACTCAAAGCAGTTTCTATTATTAGAGTGTACAGTCTTGCATAAATGATATATTAATGCCATGTATCCCTCAGGATAAAACCTAAATTATAGAAAACACTGCAGGAAATATAGAGAAGAGCTAAAAAATTTTTGAATCTCAGTTTTGTTTTCATTTATAGGGCTAGGATGATTTGAGAATTCTTATTGCATATTTAGCCCACCTTATAAATTATAGACATTCTTAGATAAGTAAATCACTTTTTGAAGAGTTATATGTGAAACTTCATTACTGTAAAGAATCTCCCAGTTGTAAGTTTTTCATGCAATATTCACAAAGTTGTAATACAGAGTCCATAAGAAACTGTATTGAAATTGATGGTATATAACCTGGGATTTTCCTTCAAATAGTTTATTGGTTTTCATTTAATGAGTTATCTCAAATTTCTGCTTTGAGAGATGTGTTCTTCTTTATCCTTAGATTATAAAAAGAAACAGTATAGGCCTACTAAGTTAACATTTGCCATTTATATCAGACAAAGGCAAAGATGACCATAACTATAGAACGCACAGAACATCCGGTCATATTTTGACGTATGTAAGAGTTGAAATGGTGAATTAAAACTTATCTCAGCCCTAGGTATCTAGAAGGCGAATATTTTCAAGAAATATCCTTGGTATAGATCATTCTAAGTGGTTTCTTACACATGAAGAATAGACACCAGGAATCGAACACTGGCGGACAGCAGGAAATAAATGCTTTACTTGGCTCCCAGAACAGTTCAGTGTTTGAGCCAAGATTTAAATTTGAAGAAGTCACATAAAAAATCCAGTTCTGGCCCCTATCTAAAAAATGGAAAAATCAGAAAACTGGTGGGGAAAACCACAGTTTCCCATAGGGGAACAGTCATTCTCAACTTTACCTTAGAGCCACCTCCCACATCCGCCCAGGTACTGGATCTAGGCCACTTCCCTCATGAGTGTTACATGTCGGAGACCTTGTGCCAGACCGATAAAATCCCCAGCCATTAAAGACCAGTTGAACATTATAAAAATGTCTAGAAAAGTATTTAGAATTTGTTTGACCATTTGTAATACTGAGAATTTAATGTACATGTTACCATAAAATCGCCTAAATATGAAACAATTGAGACATTTAATCTCTTTGTCTTTGGACTCTGTTTGTTCACTAAACTGCACCAAAACTAACAGAAAGCCAAACAAATGCAGTATATATCTTCAACACGGGCACCCCAGGTGACCTTGAATAAGCGGAACTCTGGACCTGGGACTGTGAATGAACCCTTCTTAACACCCTTCTGCTGCTGGAGTTATGGCTTGTTTGGATTTGTTTAGATTTTCAGGTAAAAGTTCACTGACAAAACAATTTCATGCCTTTATTTTTATTTTAAATCTTGGAACTAGATAGTTTTCTAGGTCTTTTTAATGTGCCAAAATTTTAACAAGTTCTGTTATTCATTTTTTAGAGTCCCCACTCCTTAAAGGAATTTTTGCCCTTTCCACATAATTTTTCTAGTGCTTTCCTTTGCTTTTATATACACAGCAAAATATTATATTAGGCTGCCAATTTGGGTTCTGTGTTTGCCTCTTCAGAACAAGTGGTAAAATCTGCGTGTTTCTGTTTGAGCCCTCTATGTAGACAGTGTTTTTTAGGATTTCTATTCTGTAGGACCTAAAACTGCATTTTGGAGCAGAATCCTCATTTAGATTTTGTTTCAGAAATTGATTTATTTCTATTTAGCAGTAGAGGTGAAGATGGAACGTGATTTCTTCTTCCTTTTCCTTATCAAATATAAGTGTACAACTTCCCCCCTGGTCAGCAAGCTATTTGTTTTGTCTTCTGGTCAACAGATATTGTGTTTTTGATCTCGGCTTTTGAAAGTAAATACCTCCCTATAATATATCTGTTAATAGCAAGTATAGTACATTTAAATAGATTGAAAAATTGAACATGTTTTCAATATCCAAAGAGTTCTGGATGAGCAACTATAAAGCTAGAAAAGTCACGTCCACAGGACGTGATGGGCACTTACCTTAGCTATCTGGACGCACCAGTTAAGCAGCAGCTGTGATCCGATGTTGTCCTTGTGTTCATGGACGTAATCCAACAGGCAGCCGTGAGGCATGAGCTGTGTAACCAGCTGAATGGTTGGGCTGAGGCACACACCCAATAGCCGGACTAAGTGCGGATGGTCCATACTTGCCATGATTAGAGCTTCCTGTAAGAAAAAATATATATATATAAATATATAAACACAAAAAACACCATTATTAAAATTCAAAGTTATTTACAAATGTAGTTACTTGCACTGCACTAATGGTGCTGATAAGGGTTTTGAAATGTACTCTCACTCAAAGAAATGAATCTGAAATGAAAAGACATTATGTTGCTATTATATTCTTAGTGATTTGGTTCAAATAAAATTAAGTGAAAAACCAGCACTACACGTTTATCAAAGTAGAAAATGTTTTAGAATAAGTGCATATAAAATTTATAGTAGTATTTTTTCTTTTGTAATAAAGACTATATGAAGTGTTATTTGCTGCCAGATAAGTTAAAATTGAAACCTGACTTATACTGTGGATTTTTAACATTCGGTCTTTGGCTCTCGAGTACGATAATATACAAATGCAGTTATTTGTGCAATAAATTATTTGTACAATAAGTTGAGACAAACAAGTCATCTACTATTCATGTGGATGCTAAAATGTATACAGGTAAAATTTATAAATTATAACTATCAAAACTTAAATAATTATAAACAATATACTCATTATATATTTATATAGAGGAATATTTTAATAAACATTTTGCTCCTTAACTTCACCCTAATTCAAATTCATTTTATTTAAAAACTTATTGGTGACATCTTATTCAGAGAATTATAAAATTTAAGAGTTATGTGGACTTCCGCCAAGATGGAGGTTTAGGTGGATGTGCCGTGCCTCCTCACACAACCAAGTTTAGGGACAACTAAATATTAGCATCAGAAAACACAACCAGAACACGGAAAACTGAACTTTTCGGAAATCCGCTAACAACAAATTCTTCAGCCCGACTGGTAAGGGGCGAAACTGGCGTAGGGTGAGGAGTTACAAAGGAGGGCTCGGGTCGAACCCGGGTGCAGAATCCAGACGCGCGAATCCAGTCGCACGGGTTCCAAACCCAGGATTGGACCTAGTGAGCGACCGAGCAACCCACCGGGTGAGCGACTGCAGAGGAGACAGTGGGGAGGCGGTGCAGGTGTTGACTGTGGTTGCCTAATTGCGCGTGAGTGAGGGAGTGAGCGGTTGGACCGGCGGCGGCGATAGACGGCGGCCGGAGGCCCTGGCGATGATAGATGGCAGCCGCAGCGGCAAGAGAGGGCGCCGCCATTTCCCCGCTCTGACCACGCCCCCACATACAGCGTCACAACCCAGCAACCTGGGACATCAAGGCGCCGCTTCTCCCACTTAAAGGGCCAGAACAGACCAAAAATGTCGCAGGGAGAACTCAAAGTCCCAGAGATAAATCTAAGTGACGAAGAAATAGCAAAACTCTCAGACGCACAGTTTAAAACACTGGTCATCAGCTTCCTCATAGATCTGGTGGATTATAGCCACAAATTAGAGAAACATATGAAGGCGAAACTAATTGAAATGAATGGAATTCCACAGGAAACCCATAGAGATGAAAAGGAAACTGGGACTCAAATCAATGGAGTGGACTAGAAGAAAGCAAATAATGGCCAAACAGAAAAGAGTCAAGGAGCAAGAATTCAAAGAAATGAGGAGAGTCTTAGGAACCTCCAGGACATCTTTAAACGCTCCAATATCCGAATTATAGGGGTACCAGAAGGGGGAAAGACACAACCACCAGTGGAAAAACTATTTGAACAAATAATAAAAGAAAATTTCCCCAATCTGGCAAAGGAAATAGACTTCCAAGAAATCCAAGAAGCCCAGAGAGTACCAAAAAAGTTGGACTCAAGAAGAAACACACCAAGGCATATCATAATTACATTAGCCAAAATTAAAATGAAGGAGAGAATCCTGGAAGCAGCAAGAGCTAAGGGGACAATCACCTACAAAGGAGTCCCCATCAGGCTGTCAGCAGATTTCTCAAAAGAGACCTTACAGGCAAGAAGGGGCTGGAAAGAAATATTCCAAGTCATGAAATCTAAAGACCTACAACCAAGATTGCTCTACCCAGCAAAACTTTCATTTAGAAAGGAAGGACAGATAAGGTGCTTCTCAGATAAGACCAAATTCAAGGAGTTCATCATCACCAAGCCCTTATTATATGAAATGTTAAAGGGACTTATCGAAGAAAAAGAAGTTAAAGAAACATGAACAGTGAAAGGACAACAAACTCACAGTTATTAACAACCACACCTAAAATGAAAGCAAACTAAAAGGACAGCTAGATCAGGAGTGGAAACATAGAAATGAAGATCTCAAGGAGGGTTAGCAACAGGGGAGTGGGAGGAGGAGATGGGGGGAGAAGGTACAGAAAACAAGTAGCATAGACAGTAGATAGAAAATAGATGGGGGGGGGCAAGAATAGTATGGGAAATATAGAACCTAAAGGACTTGAGACACATGGACATAAACTAAAGGGGGGGTAATGGTGGGGTTGGGGGGCAGGGTGGAGGGGAATGAAGGGGGGAATAGAACAACTGTAACAGCATAATCAATTCAAAAAAATAAATAAATTAAAAAAAAGAGTTATGTGGACTATACAAATTTGTCTATTTTAAATTTATAATTACATGAAATAAGAAAACAGTTCTAGGTTTTTTATCATAATCATAAAGGCACTTCTGCTTAATGGAAATAAAATGTTTTTAGGTGCATTCTAAAGTGAGCTTCCAACAAAAACTTATTTTAAATGTCTTTATTAGAATTTGACACTAATATGACCTTACACATACACGCAGAGGAGTGTGATACGTATGTGACAATTATTATCAATCAGTTACCTATATGACAGTATGTTAATTGTGCTATTCTTGAACAATTTCTGTAGCTTTGAAATTTTTCAAAACAAAAAATATAATCTAAGACGGGATGTGACATTCCATTTAAGATGGCTTGGCAAACTTTTACTTCCATTTGCTCTCAATAACACTATACCAACCATAAAGGACTTTTTTTTTATTTAAAAAGCCAGACACCAGATAGAAAGGAAGCAATAAGGAAATACTTCTGTAAGTAGAAAGTGGCTTACTAGTAGCAACCGACTTAGCAAAAATAGAAGCCTGATTCAGCAGGGGGTGGTATTGAGAAGAAATGCACTTTATACCACAGATGCACACCACCAAAGGCCAAGGGTGTTAGCACTGCAGACCTCTCTAAGTTGAGCGGGGGGCATGGCTTCAGCAGGATGGCTTCAAAGTCGAGTCAGGAAGAACTTAATGATCTACACCCCTTCCACTGTTAGGAGAGACTAACCAAAAGGATTGTGAATTTTACACACACTCGAAAGAGAAGTGCTCTGATGAAAACAGCATTAGGTAAATTGATACAGGGTGAAAATTGGGACCACTCTCCACTTCCTTCTTTCAAATGAACCTGTGGCTTCAGAATGATGACTTTTGTTTAAACGTCAAATTCCATATCCAGGGAAATTTTAATGAGGTGAGTTAATACTATACAGACATGCTCAGATATACCTATTCTTAAACAATTTTATGCCAGATGCTTCGTTTCACTGTTAGATGTGCATATTAAATAAATGGGGTGGCAAGAGTGGGGATAAAAGAGTACATGAAATTGAGGAAACAAGGAACTATCAATGATGGAATATTTCAGAATAACAGATGTGCAGCGGACTGAGACAGCAACCAGTCCAGACTGGAACAGGGTATGTTGCTCTGGGAAAGGTGATCTGGGAAGACAGAATTGATAGACTACTTAATGAGTTGAAAGCACATTTAAAGACTATCTATTTTTCTAGCAGAAGTTGAAATCAAATTAGTGGTAGATACGTAGACAAAGTGGAAGTAAATTCACTTTCACAAATTGAAAGTAATTTGTGAATTAATTTCACAAAGTGAAAGTAAATTCACAAATTAGTGGTAGACAAAGTGAAAGTAAAAAAGTATAAATTGATGTAAAACACAAGAAATGCACACAAGATAATTGTATTTACTATAGAGCACAGCTGGGATACTTTACATAATTATAATAACATACACATGAAATGCTGAAATAAGCAAATATGTGACTACTAAAAGATCAGGAGCAGGAAGGTATACTTCTGTAAGGTGGTGATGGAAAAGATATAAAAGATATATTCTCGCTGTTCATAGTAAAAAAGTTAACACTACATGATGCATAAAACTGAAAAAAACAAAAGTTGACAGTGTGAGCATATTATTTAGATATATGAAGTTAAGCTAGAGGAGAAATTGCCCCAAAGTTGAAAGCGATGGCTTTGGCCCATAGAAAATGGGGTGGGGGATGGGGATGGGGGTGGCCAGAGACTGCTGTCCTTCATCATTAGCCTTGATGAAGTTCTTGGCTTTTATTGTTATTATCATAAACCTGTTTCTGAGGACATTATTCATTTTTAACCCCCATTACTATTTTAGTGGTGTTGAGTTCAGCTGAGTCTAAAGATTATTCACAATTATGGGGTATGTCTGATGGAGCATATAAATTTACTGAATGTAGCTGAATTCTTATGTGAGGTGTAGCATTTTAGTTTTTGAGTAAGGAAGGGTGGGGTGGTATTGGCACATGCCTGCAGAAAGGAGTGATTCAGGGCCAAACAGAAGAAATAAGCTGATAGGATGGTATCAGCCTTACTCGGAGACCTTGGGTTTTGAGTCCATATGGACTGAAGCTGAAATCATTTTCCATATGGCTTTCGAGTAGGTTATGTCCTCCAATTCCCCTTTCTACAGATACCCCAGAAATCGTATGAGTTATTGAAGAGAGGAGAGCCCCAGTTTCTATGCTTCTTGGCTGAGACCACCACAGGGAGGCATCACCTCTAGTAAGGACATTGGCATCCACAGGGACACTGGTAGCAGGGCCAAGGGTAGAAGCTCTTAGTGGTTCAGAGAGGCTCTACATGGGGGCACGAAAGGGTAACACGGGACACTGCAGCTATCACAGGGAGACTGCAGCTATCACAGGGAGACTGCAGCTGGGAGACTGGTTTAAGATTGTGTATGAGACCCCCAGTAACTTCCCAAACGATTTGGGAAAGGTTCATTTGGTACTGCAGTTT